CCATTTGTCTGTCCTCTCATGTTAAAAAGCTCCAGTGCGCCACCATCTGTGCAGCAACTGCAAACCTCTCACATTATCCACAGTGACACCCATCTTGTTGTTTTTGTTAAATAATCTGTCTTATTCATCTATTTTGTCTCTTCTTTTTATAAATGTATCAGCAGTTCCAATTCCACTTCTCTGCAAATGTAATTTCCAAAGGTCACCTTCTCTGAGAATAAATTATCTCCACAATGCAAGGTCATTCTCCGTCTTTCAGAACGAGATAACAGTTTTGTTCACATATTTGCCCCTCTCTCTCTCGCGCGCTCGCTCTCTTCACGCAGCATGCTCTCTGTTCACTGTCATTTTATCTTCGTACTGTGAGAAATTTTAGTTCAATGGCATGATTTGTCAAATACAAATATTTATTTTGCAGATGTGCAATTATCTCCGGTACCTCTTACAGTATGCAGTGATTTCGCCATTCATTGTTTCAGGGGGAAAAAAACAAAAAAAAACAGCTTTAGCACACAGCCTCTAACTAAAAGGTGAATAATGGGAAACATTTAGGATAGTGTCTAGCCATTCTTGGTTTTATGGACAATTTTAATGAAATCTATAAAATAAACTCTCATAAAACACTCATGTTATTTTAATTTATCCAAAAATTATGACCAGCAGTGTACAAACTGTGCATCTGGAGAATTCTATATAGACAGTTTATGTGAAGTCATGTAATTTTTTAACTCTGTAAAAATAAAATAAATTATAAACTGATAATAATAATAATATAATAATCAGTTGTATTATTTAATTTTTACAAAGTTATAAGCTTAAAATAAAGGAACGCGTGGTAAGAACAACTGTCTTTAAATTGAAATTAAATTGCCCTGAAACACTAGGACAAAAGCCTGTTGTTGAAGAAACTCGGTCTATGCCTCTGATCTTTCCCAAATATTTTGTGCACGTGTACAATCGTTCTTGTTGCTAACTCTGATCATGTGGGTGGCATGTAAGGATGTGGATGTTCTCAGTCATGGGATCAAAGTGATCACAATGGCATGGTAAAAGCCTGCTCATTTGCTAATGGACTTTAGGCAGTACTGTTTGTTTCACATCAGCTGAGTGGACGAGTAGCTTCATTTGCTGTGGCTGTCTGCCAGTGCATCTCTTTCTCTCCTCACTTACCCACAGGTCTATTCAAGCTCAAATATATAAACAATGATTTTGCCATCTCGTTATCATTGCAGACAGAGAAATTAAATATTGATTCTCCTCACGGGGAAAAGGAATTGCAGGGCAGAAATTACCTATTCTCCCTCTTTTTCGCCGCTCCCAAGCTGTTTCTGCTGTCACATTTTACCTCAGGAATTTGTGGCTAATTTTGACTTTAATGGCTTTTGCTGCCTATGAAGATGGAGTCCACTTTTTCTTTTTTCTTTTTTCAGAATGAATCACTGAATGTTACAGTAATCCATGCACAGCGCAAAAATAGACACACAAGGTAGAATAATGTGTTATATACTGGGGCAGGTTATTGTACAAATCATTTTGCCACATTATTGATATTAAAGCTGCAGTCCGTAGCTTTTTTGGGGTTAAAAATGATACAAAATACATATTTGAGAAAATACATAACCAGACAGTGTTGAAAACTGTCTGCTTGTCTTAGCTCGATTCAAAGCAGTAAGATTGGAAGATTATTATTATTTTTTTTAATTCCAGTGGTACTGGTGGATTTCCGTAGGAGATTTGAGCATGTCTTTGTGTCGTCACATCTGTACACATAAAGGAGGAGTCTCGGCTAGTAGGCTATATTGAGTCATTACGTCATATCTGTACACATAAAAGAAGAGTCTCGGCTAGTAGACTATTGAGTCATTACGTCACACCTGTACAGATAAAGAAGAGTCTCGGCTAGTAGGATATATTGAGTCATTACGTCATATCTGTACACATAAAGAAGAGTCTCGGCTAGTAGACTATTGAGTCATTACGTCACACCTGTACACATAAAGAAGAGTCTCGGCTAGTAGGATATATTGCATCATTACGTCACATCTGTACACATAAAGAAGAGTCTCGGCTAGTAGGATATATTGCATCATTACGTCACATTTGTACACATAAAGGAGGAGTCTCGGCTAGTAGGCTATATTGAGTCATTACGTCACATCTGTACACATAAAGGAGGAGTCTCGGCTAGTTGACTATTGAGTCATTACGTCACACCTGTACACATAAAGAAGAGTCTCGGCTAGTAGGCTTTATTGAGTCATAACATCACATCTGTACACATAAAGAAGAGTCTCGGCTAGTAGGATATATTGCATCATTACGTCACATCTGTACACATAAAGGAGGAGTCTCGGCTAGTAGGATATATTGAGTCATTACGTCACATCTGTACACATAAAGAAGAGATCGAGTTGATGTTCCTGTGGACCTAATCATGTCTGAATGAAAAGAATAATTGTTGTGTTTAGTCCAAGTGGCAACATTTTAATCTGAAAGATGAAGCCTATACCCGGAAGTGAGAAAAACTGCAATGCATCTTAGAGGCCGGTCCCAAAAGGGAACAAATATCCATAGACGTCATGGTAAAATATTCGTTTTGACAGCATAAATTCATATGTTTACAGGTTGGTCCCATAGACTTTTATTGTAATCTTCAATATGTATGCCTGACAACTGTGAGGGAGGTGATTTTTTTTCTAACTCGTTAGTTTAGATCGTGTGTAGATATAAAATGTATGACAAATAAAGGTGGTTAACTTTGATTGACACCTGATAACGGGCTGTGCCGAGTGAATTTGACGTCTCGGCCATGATCTGACACAACACATCATACCACCTCTGTATCCTTTCTGAACGTTTATATTTTGTATTTCTCAAGATTTTCCAGTATGGCGCCGCCCATACCCCCCCATAAACAGCCTCAAACCCGTTCTTCAGAAAGTCTATGGGTGACGTCACAGACGCTTTGTCCATATGTTTTACAGTCTATGGTTTAGTCGGGCAAACTAACTCTTTACAAGAAAAATCATAAGGTGCATCATATTATCTACATCTTATTCACCTCATTCTTATTGTTTTTAGAATAGCAATATGTAAGAACAATAGTAACTGTGTTATTGGTTGCATTATTGGGTTTGTACTTTTGTTTATTGTTTATTTGTGTTTGTTTGTTAATTTTTGGTTGGTTGATGAGGCATGCTAAACTGATAAAGCTCCTAAATCAGAGAGTATGAGTATGAAATTCAGCATGTTACTGAAACATATTGAACGTTTTTATAAATTAATATCATGAAAGCCTGAATAAAATGCCCCAAAAGGGCAAAATATGACAATGCTGCATTACTGTAGTACACAAACGTGTTTTGTCTTATAACCTAAAAATTGATTTGTTGGGTAACATCTAGTTTTGATCAAGTCAAAATATTACTCAATCAACTTGATTCTGAGTTACACAAAAGTAGAGATAACTCCTTTAAAAACAGCTTTAGATATCCCCTTTTTATATCAGATTTTAGAAAGATTTTAACAACATTACTTTCTCCTGAGGACGTAATTTTACATAAATATTTTCTCCAAATAAATAATAATTATTTTAGAAATTCATAAATAAATACATGCATTTATTAATAAGATATTAATATGTATTACAGATTTTAAATTAATATTGCATCAATATGCCTTTTTCATAGTGAAAGATTTATTAGAAATATTCCATAAGCCTCTGACATATCTCTCCTTACTTCTACACCCGAAAACCAAGTCTGGCCTCTTTCTTTCAACTAAAGTCGCAGGGGGGAATAAGCATGCTGCACATTATTTATTTTATTTTATTTTATTTTATTTTGTTTTATTATTTCATTTTGTTTTATTTTTATTTTTGTCTAAGTACAGTCTTTTTTTTTTTTTTTTTTTTTTTTTTGCATAATTAAATATAATTTAAACCGTCAAAAGTTAAACCGTCAAAAAAATCTGTTCTGGATACAATTTGTGTTTGTCTGTGTGTTAAATAAGTTGTATTGTGAAGCATGTAACAAAATAGTTTTGTTGTTCCTCAGCTGTAGACACTGTAAGTCCAGTAGCTGCTGTTTTATGTTTTTCAGAGCCTGTCTGATATGAATTACTCTGATATGAATGACTCTAATGACTGTTTTTGGTCACAGTTGATTGTAACACTGCAGTTTGTATTTTCCCTTGCATTATGCTTTCAAACTATGTTTTGTAGAAATTTACATTGATTTTGGCCCTATCAGTCATCACTTGCACTTGTTTGAGGTTTACGGAGCTGCATGTATTTCTGTGAAAGTTGCCAAACAGAAATATATATATATATATATATATATATATATATATATATATATATATATATTGTAGCTTATGTCAGTTGCTGTACAAGAACAGAACAGAATCTGTTCATTTAGCAGTAGTTTCACGATCAATACAGTTAAATCTGTAGGTCATTAAATAGCCAAGGGCCAGTTTCAACCAAAACAGATTAATCCTAAACCATCACTCAATGAGAAATCAATATCAGTTTAGGATTTAGGCAGGGCTTTAGTGATGCACAATTATATGCGACTACAAATTAGATTTAAAAGCACATTATTATTGTGGTGGTGGTGAAACAAGAACAAACCTACAGGTGGAATGCTAAGCTATTAATTGACCGCCATATTTAGAATACCTTAATACTCATGTTTTGTGCACATTACATATTAAAAAAAATAAGTAAACCCATTCAAATCACATGCCAGTGAAAAACACTTTTCCATTCACAATTCCATTCATTTTCCATCACAATATATCTCTTATAGTGATACTTTTTTATAGTGAAGCTCCTGACTTAAATGCATTCCTCAGATATCACCATAACATATTTCATTGCTGTATTTATCTCTGTATAAATCGTTGTAGAAGGTCTACTGGAGTAATTCTAAGCAACGTGATCGCTGTATATCCTCACAATGTCAAATTGTTATCATGCATGTGTGTTTATCTTTCAGAGGCATTCGATGAGTTGCAGTAGAGGAGGTGGTTGTCCTGGTCAGAACGTCAGCTCACTGCAGACACCTGGAGATGCCAGCTTTTTCTCCAACCAGCTTGCTGTCCCCACAGTGGAGTTCACATACTCAGAGTTTCCTAAAACAGAGGTACATCCACATACACATGCAAATGTGTGCAATATAAGCGCATTGATAATCCAATCATTCTTTAAATTCACTGTACGTTCAGATGATGTTAACAACGAGCAACCATTCACACCGGTGTCTACAAATAGGGAAAATGTTTTCAAAAGGCTGTGTATAAGGCCGTCTAAATTGATCCAATGGCGGTACTCGATTAGAGGTGAAGGTCTCACGCGTGTTTCGTCTCTTCTCATGGCAAAGGAATTTTTCATTAAACGCAATTTTATCTTATGTATTAACTTGTCTTTTCACCTGACTCCATAAATGAAAAGGTTTTTCAATGATAGCTGTGCATCATTAAATCTATGTGAATGTTTGACTATTCCTTTTAACTCGAATGAAAATAAAGTCAAAGTCTGTTGGAATAATCAAATATAACAATTTATTATGTCAGGTAAATTTATTATTACAATTAAAGTACAATCATAATCAATTGAAAGATAATCAGTGCAAACCATCAAATGTTCTAGAACAAAGAGGAAAATCCTTTACCTGACATTATGAAATACACAGCATTCAAAGGCTGATCTCAGATACAAAAAAAAAAAAAAAAAAAAAAAAGAAAGCCCTGAGCTCTCCGCTGCATTTCTTTATACAGGTATAGCCAGACCTCATTTGATATGTAAAACATGAGTTTACAGTGGAAATGTACTGTGTTCACTCCCCAAGACTTGCTGGGGGTAGAAGTTGACCATTTGCAAGGAACAGTGGAAATTAGCATTCATGAATTTACACCTTTTGGAAGTAGGACCATGCCTAGAGACCACATTCCTTTGTGTGCCAGTTGTTCCTAAACTCTTAAAAATCTTATTACCTTCCGCTTTACTTATTTGGAAATAGAACACTTGTACCAGTCACACGTGTAGACATTACAAACAACACTAAACACATGTATAAAACTTTATGACAGTTGTTCAAATTAAAACCATGCACATTTTTGTGTGAGTTTCGGTGATCTCAGCAAGAGCGGGGGATGTGAGGAAGGAGTGTGTGTGTGTGAGAAAGAGAGAGGTGTTCAAATGTTAATTTGCAAGCAAAGTCCTTCGTCTTTTAGACCTGCGGTGAGGTTGATCTCTTCAACCAGTTCTTCCAGTATTACAGCTGACAAATTATAGCCTAATGGATATGCAATTTCCAATACACAAACACTAGCCTCAGACACCAAGAAGCGATATCTTTTATATTTTATGTCTTGGTATTTGAATGATGTCTTGATTTAAATAACACAGTCTCATCCCAAAAAGTCATATAACTGACGTTTTGGGACGTATTTTGACCATACGTCAATATTCGCCTTTTTAGGGCCCCCTTAAACATCGGTAGATGGCTATCCCGGGCCGTCATACAACTGACGCTTTACCTTTAACGCCAGTTAGGTGACGGGTTAGGTTTAGGGTTAGGTTTAGGTATGGGGTAGAGTTAGGATCCCATAACCTCATCTACCGACGTTTAAGGGGGCCCTAAAGAGGCGAATATTGACGTATGGTCAAAAGACGTCCCAAAACGTCAGTTATATGACGTCTTGGGATGAGACTGGGTTGATTTAAATATGATGCTTTCATGATAAATACAGTATGGCAATTACCTCAGACATATTAAACTTAATAAATTATAAGTTATGTTGAGCATTTGAATCTAACCATGTAAAAAGTGGCTAATTTGTAACAATTCATACGACCTCACTCATACGAATTAGTACGATTTTGCTAAATCGTACATATTTTACGAATTGGCCAATTCGTATGAATTTGTACGAATGAGTGACCTATCCCTTACCCCGCCCCTAAACCTACCCATCACGTGGGTTTAGACAAGTTGTACGAATTAGTACGAGTGAGGTAGTACGAATTGTTACGAATTAGACACTTTTTGAATCATTCGTCGAATTCGTACGAATTGGTTGTGAGATAGCGTAGGTATAGGCTTTGTTTTTTTTTGTTTTTTTTTTTACCACAAATACAAATACTTTTATGGATTCTTTAGTTATTAAAAATTGTTTATTTGATTACTTTGAATAAAACCTTACCAAAAGTCTCAATGTATGGGAAATGTACCATTCTCATTTGCTACATAAACCTGTAACACAAAAAAAAAAAATACATTGAGTATTATATTCATTCATATAGTGAAATGTGGATTTTTAGAAATGTTTTTGTGCCATATAGAGTAAACAGTTTGGAGTAAAATTGAATCAAATGGACATTTGCCACTGTGTGCTTTTTGCCACATTTACCCTCTAAAAAAAGGATCAGTGTTGAAACCACTTTGTTTTAGATACTGTATGTATGTACACAGTGGTGCAATTATTGCTTTTGGCTTGAGAGAACCAGTCCAATTGGATCACTTTAAAATTCAAACAGGTTTCACTCAGGTACCTGGAAGTCCTGACCCTAATGCTTTCCTACACTTCAGTGTGGATTCACTGGTTTAGCACAGGCTGTTACATCTTTCCCCTGCACCCTCTTTGCCTCATTATGATACGTGAGGAGTCACGTTTCCTGTCACATAAAATTACCTTCCATGTTCCTCTGTCACACAGAAGCACGGTTAAACCCCAGGACTCATTTACAAACAGCATCATCTGCCACAGCCCTGATGTCTTATCCGTTATGTCTTTTCAGATGTCACATGCGAGTGTATCCCAGGAGATACACAACAAGCTCTCTCTTCCTTTAAAATAAACACTCAGGGGAAGCTTGTCTACTCAATTGCATTATGTTTCCTCATTTTTCCATTGTGCTTCATCTTAAATGTGTTTTATGGTGCATTTTTGTACTTCCTCACCACAATGGAGATGTAAGAGTTAAACATTTCACACACAAAGTGACTCTTTTCCTTTCTCTGTACTGTACATCTTTCAGCCTCTGTCTCACGCTGTGGTGGTTGACACTTTCTGCATGCTGACTTGTACATCTGTCTCATCCGGGCACACATGCCTGGCTAAGCATTTGCAGTGCAATGCTGGTGTGCCTTAAACTGTGAATGTAACCTTTTCCTGGCATTCAAGCCATCAGGCTGCATTAGCACTGGGGGTGGCTGGGGTGTTTTGGAACAACACGGTCTGTGCTGTGACATCCAGCTCCCCACATCCCTGCTTCTTTTCTGTGCCACGTGCCTCCGCCCCAGGAGTCGTCGCTCTCCCAGCTAGCAAAATCAAAATGACGTGTGGGCCTTCATATGCTAACAGTACTTACAGTGCCTGTGAAAAGAAAAAAAAATACTCTTTAATGTCAGTTAACTTAAATGTAAGTGAAACCAGGGTCATTATAGTACAAAGCACATAGAACAAAATTGAACTTTAAAATGAAAACGGAAAATACAAAAATACAATTTAAAATATTTAATGAAACTATAATAGAATCTCAATTTTACTAAAATGATACAGAGTTAAACATATCTACAGGTGAACTGAATTTACAATAAGAAAATTAACCATACTAATACTGTGTTTGACCCTGCAATGGGGTTCGTTGTTATGGGAAGAAGGAGGCGGGAACCGGCGAACAATTAAGACTTTAATAATAAAATAAACAAATACAAAATGAAAGTAAAGCCAGCAGCCCCTCACGGATGACTACTGGCCACAGAAACAAAATACAACATAAAATAGAATAAGGCCTGTTCCTCTCTCTCTACACTGTCGTCACTCCTCCTTTATGCTTCCGCTCGTCCATGATAGATCCGAGACCGGTGCTGCTCATTACCACTCGCACCGCTTTCACGCCACTCGGCCCTTCAGAACTGCCTTAATACTATGTGGCATTGATTCAACAAGGTGCTTAAAACATTCTTTAGAAATGTTGGCCCATATTGATAGGATAGCATCTTGGAGTTGATGGAGATTTGTGGGATGCACATCCAGGGCATGAAGTTCCCTTTCCACCACATCCCAAAGATGCTCTATTAGGTTGAGATCTGGTGACTGTGGCGGCCATTTTAGTACAGTGAACTCATTGTCATGTTCAAGAAACCAATTTGAAATGATTGGAGCTTTGTGACATGGTGCAATATCCTGCTGGAAGTAGCCATCAGAGGATGGGTACATGGTGGCCATAAAGGCATGGACATGGTCAGAAACAATACATTTAAACGATGCCCAATTGGCACTAAGGGGCCTAAAGTGTGCCAAGAAAACATCCACCATACCATACACCACCACCACCAGCCTGCACAGTGGTAACAAGGCATGATGGATCCATGTTCTCATTCTGTTTACTCCAAATTCTGACTCTACCATCTGAATGTCTCAACTGAAATCGAGGCTCATCAGACCAGACAACATTTTTTCCAGTCTTCAACTGTTCAATTTTAGTGAGCTCTTTCAAATTGTAGCCTCTTTTTCCTATTTGTAGTGGAGATGAGTGGTACCCGATGGGGTCTTCTGCTGTTGTAGCCCATTTGCCTCAAGGTTGTGCGTGTTTTGGCTTCACAAATGCTTTGCTGCATACCTCGGTTGTAACGGTTGTATTTCAGTCAAAGTTGCTCTTCTATCAGCTTGAATCAGTCGGCCCATTCTCCTCCTTAACCCAAATTGAGTTTACAGTATTTAGAACTTTACGACCACATCTTTACGACCACAACACATAGGAGACTTTTCTGGTGTGCATGCAAACTTCCCCTCAGTGCCAGGCACAAATCATACGAGAGTGAAAAAAGAAAGAGTTAAAGTATGATAGAATTGTTGCAAGTTAATTTATTTTGCCAACTTCTTGAATGTTTAACATTCTTTTTTTTTTTTTCAGGTGCAAGTTTTTAAAACATCTTATAGTCTAGAATTAAGAAAAAAATTGCCAAATTCACAGTATTATTTGATCTATTCCACCACTACATCAATTACATTTATGTACAAATGTATTCAGTTTTGTTGTAGGCACTAAAACAGTCCAGTACTTTACAGTCAAACTCAATTGTATGTTTGAATAATGAAGATTTCTGTGCCACCCAGACTGCTATGAATAAATCCT